AAGCCGCACCGGAGTCCTTCGGGATTGGGCGGCATATAAATGTGTCTAATAAATAAATAAAAAATAAATAAATAAATAAATAAATAAATAAATATGTATACCTCCCCCAAAAAACTTATTTTTAATAGAGACACACATTTACACATTTCTTAAAGTTTTTCCACCAGGCTGCCACCTATCCTTTTAAATTATGCAGTTCACTAGTCTTAGACTTGCCTTCACCCCATGCAGTTTCAGATAGAAGCATTCAAGTGGCTTCAGACCCTCAGGAGTCTTGACATATTTGGGGTCTCCAATCATACCAATGTACACGGTGACTTGGAAGTGGTTTTTTTTCTGGCACACGAAAGCATCGTCTCCCACAGAGAAATTGAAGCCTTTATCTGCATCCACTCGGTATGTGGGCATAGGTCTGGAAGCAAGGGAAAAGTAGACAAGAGAAAACATGTTGGACAAAAGAACAAATAGGAGCACCAATAAGACACAGCTATATCCAAATTTGTTTATGGGCAGTCTTGTTTCCACCATCACATATGACTGAAACCAGAGATTTTCAAACCTTTTCAAGCAACTCAAATGTGTTACTTTAAAAAAATCATCCCAAGCCCTGATCAAAAGTCGAAGTTGTAGTGAAAGAAAATGGCTGCACTCAAGTCAAACAACTTCTTCAAGCCTGCTGGAGGTGAACATGTGAGAAAGCACCAGAAAGATGCAGAAAGAAAGGTTTAAACCAAAAGCTTCATCAGAAAGGAAAACAAGAAGGAAAATGGAAAACGGGGGAAAGACAGTGGGTGCCCGAGTCAGAGAAATGGGTAGGACAGAAGGACAAGCAGAAGATCCCACAGCAAAAGCAGAGTTCTGTGTGGGAGCTTAACAGCCTCTCAGTATTTTGCCTTCATTTCCAAAAGTCTGAAGTCCTGTACAGATTGAGGCTCCTCCTCACACATGCCGATGGCAACTGGATAAACTCTATACACTGTCAGCACCTGCGGGGTGAGTGAACCTGGCAGAGTCTGTAAGGAGCCATTTAAGTCTTCCTCATAGTAACAAGAGGGACCCCAAGTTGCTAGCGATGTGCCCTGAACAAAAAGCAGATGGTGGTCACAGAACAAGCTACCTTAGTCAGAAAGTATGAGAAGAATTTCCTTTCCCCTCTCCCCTCTCCTCACATTTCTGGTGATTCATTTTCATGTTCCTTCCTTCCTTCCTTCCTTCCTTCCTTCCTTCCTTCCTTCCTTCCTTCCTTCCTTCCTTCCTACATAACTTGGTATTCCACTCTATTGAGAAATCAAAATTTGCCTGCCCATCACCTAAAGGCAGACACAGACCTCTTCCTCCTTAATCTTAAGCCACTGCACACTGTCTTTGGGTCCAACCATGACTTCTGTCAAAATATTCAATTCATCAATAAAACTTGAAAGAAACAGTTACAAAAGGGGAAATCAAAGCAACTACAAGTACTTCTTCAAACAAATTCTATACACAGTTCATTTGAGCTGATTACTACTCAATGCAACTCTAAAACCAGAAAAGTTATCTGGGAGAGTTAGGAAAGCTTCCACCCAGAGGAATATGAACTATTTAAATGTCCACACCTTTATAAGTATTAAGATTTTTTGACTCTATTACAGAGGTGGGTTTATGCCGGTTCTCCCCGGAGCGGGCGAACTAGTAGTGGCAGCTGCGGAAGGCTCCACCCACCCACCTGGACGCTTCTGTGCATGAACGCATGAGCGAACCAGTAGTAAAATAAATTGAAACCCATCACTGCTCTATTAGATTAACCTCATACCTTGTAATCTGTCCTCAACACTGTCCATATCCACCCAAGCAAGGCTATAAACAGCACAAGGGGAATTCAATGTGTCATCAGGACAGTTCCAGCATAGATAAATAGTTACTGAAATAGGCCTATTCAGTCATATACAAAAAGAGGCATATTGCACAGAAGCAGGCTTGGTAAGTCTTTTTCTTTGTCATCATGCAAATGACATCAGCTGGCATAGGAACCAACCTTCACAACTTAAGCGCAGATGTCTGAAGAGGAGAAGTCTTCATGCTGCAAACTATAGACAAGGTGGCTTTGGTACAAGCAAGGATTATGATGATGCATCTTTTATAAAGGAGTCATAAGATAACAATATAATGTAACGTAACACAACATAGTATAATGGAACACAACATGTCAAAGGGGCTGGTTACTTGAGGGCAGATGTGGGCTGCACATACTTTAACAACCAGTTCGCAGAAAATGTGAGTGCGTGCACCTTCCGAACTTGCGTGCAACACCTAAAACAAGATTTTTTTGATGGGGGCAGCTTGCTGCATACCTGCTAGGTCAACCATGGTTAGTAGAACGGAAGAAGCGCACAAATCAGGTTGGCTGTGGGGTGGAGCGAGCAAGACGGAAAGTCTGAACCGGCAGCAGCCCACCACTGCTTGAGGGACCAGCGGTCTCCCACAACATCTGCCTGGTTGTTTTAATACACTCTGGGTTCCTTTCATTACATAATGTTACCTATCAGTACATTTTTTCTATGGCAGCATCTGTCCTCTGCAATGAGATTCTCATCAGGATCTGGATGGCCCCATTCTGCTATTGTTTAGAAGAGCCATAATATGACCTGGCTCTTCACCTGGGGCTTTGGTGAGGACGAGGGAAAACTGTTACTTCATTCCATCCAGTCCATTGTACTGGCCATCTTTTATATTTTATAGGTTTTATTGTAATGTCTTTGATTATAAGCCACCCATTGGGTGGTATACAAGTTTAACAATAAACAAACAAACAAACAAATGCCAAAGCATTTGGATGATTACTTGGAGTAGCAGGCCAGTGAAGATCCAATTAAACTCATTTATTGCTAATCATGCCTATGCACATGAATCTTCTCAATGCTTAGCAGTATTCAAAGGAATTCAAGGGAAGTTGGACTTAATTAACCTGTGTACACTTTTCTGTGTACTTGGTTCCCCCATCAAACTGCCCTTAATGGAGTAAGCTCTTTTTTTAAATATCAGAAACTGCCCTCCTATAATCTGAATCTATCTGCCCATGTTCTACACACAGAACTCTACATTCTCTATGTGATACCTTTCAGTATTTGAAAGTACTATTATATCTTGCCTCAATTGTCACTTATAATCAATCTCTCTTCACAGAATTCAGTTTCTACTCCTAGGATCATGTATGTCACCTTTTTCTGATCCTGTTCCAAAATCTCTGATCCTTCACGCCATTCCACTCAATACCATTCGGAACCATACTCTTAGAAACCATGGGTGAGCACACTTTCCTTCCCCCCCACCAGTAAGTCATTTATCCCACTTAATTGTCATCCAGCCTATAATTAACTTGCTGCAAATGCCATGAAGCATAATTGCTTTGCTGAAATTAAGATATATTATGCCCATAGCACTTTTAATCTACTACAGAAATTACTAGGTTTAAGAAAAAATGAGCTAAGAACAAGTCCTGTCAGACTAATAAAATCATTCTAATGTCTGGTAATTACATTGTTTTAAAGATGTTTTGATTTAACTTTCAAACATAGTCTGCATTTCTATACAAAAGCATTTAGAAATATGGGAAATAAGCCAGATGAGTTTAAACTCTTAGTATAGGAAGACAAATATGATCTAAAAAATGTCTGTTAGAATGGATACAATTTGTTGAACGGTACTGAAAAAAGTGGTGTACAACTCATCCACACTCCTACAACCATCACAGCATCCCATCAGTCATATCATGATATTGGTGCTTGACAACCGATATGTATTTATGATTGTTACAGCATCTTGGGAGTCGTGTGATCCCCATTTCTGACCTTCCCAGCCGGCTTCCAACAAGCAAAGTAAATGGGGGAAGCTGGCTTCATTTAACAATAGTATGATTCACTTAACAACTGTAGCAAAAAAGCTTGTAAAATTGGGCATATCACATAAAGATTCACTTAATGACTGCATCACTAAGTGATGGAAATTCTNCCTTTTAATTATTACATACATTTTTATGATTTTACTGTTACATTGTTATTGCTTTTTGCTTATATTTTGTTTGCCATGCATTAAAAAAAAATCAAGCTACCCCCCCCCCCCTAACATGGAACTGTAAATTAGTGATATTACTTGACTACTGTTACCATACAGACAATTACTAGAAATACACCATACAGCAAATCTATCCCTTGATATGGTACAATTGTGTATACAATGCACAATGTTACTGGTATGGAAATATGTGAAATTCACAGGTGCTTCTAATGTAGAACCAAACCACATATTTGTGCTAATGCAGACAGGTCCTTACCCTAATTCTGTTTCCATCTGTTTTACCCACTAATCTACAACAAAGGTCCCCCACCCCCACCACCCCGGAGACTGCATAAGTCAGCATGTTACTTACTTGTCTGCAGACTCCGGGGTCCCCGTCTGCCCTCTGTTTGTGTTTTACCCCCGAACCGGCCCTTTGCTAGAGGAAATGGACACAGTACTTAAAAAGGCAGCAGGGCGGAGACAGCCAACTACAAAGTCACAGCTTAGTGTCCTCCTTATTTACTTACTAACTTTGGCAGTGAAAGAGCCACAGCTGACTTCTTCACTTGCCTTTCCCTAAAGTTATTCCATCTAAAGCGAAGAAACATTCCACTTGTTTATTCAGATTGCTAAACAGATTGCTACGAAATTTGATTAGTTGATCCTATTTGCAGGCATCAGTTTCACAAATATTCCAAAGTCAAAAGGGCAGAAATATCCCCACTTGAATAAAGTGTGCCCCTAGATGAAATCAGTCATAATACTTCTACAAGTTTCCCTCATCTGTATTTAACATTTACTTTTTGAGAACTTTAAGGCACATGTCTGCAAAAGTGCAATCACTGGGGCAGGTTTAACTTCAACAAAACTGATGAACATCTGATCCATAAGACTTGCCTTGCGGCTTATATCACAGAAATAGGGAAAACTGATAACTGGTGGTATTGGTTATCAATAACACAATTATATGATTAACATGGACATCACTTGTAAAATCTATTCCTAGGTACCCTCCAAGAATACACTTTCCTGCTTTCCTTGCATGTAATATTTACTTTGAACCTTATAAACGTTGAAAGCATTGAAATTCCTTTTGTATAAGCATTTGCCAAAGGCCTTCTTGGTTTAGAGGAGAGAGTCAGAGTTCAGAAAGCTAAACAAGATTAGGGTAGAGGGTATTGTGAATGACAAAAGAAAAGCAAGGAACACTGTGGAACAAGGGGCAGGCTGGTATAGGGGTTTAAGAACATGAAGGAACTCCTGTCAAGTAAAGTATAACACTCTAAATGTTCACAATCATGGAAGGATATGTTGCAAGGGAAGGGAATAGACTTACTCTAACAATGATGCGCTCTGAGATATGAGCAGCCAGAGTGT